GAATGTTATCTTTAATCTAGTCTTTAATTACTTACTTAACTTAATAACTTAACCTCACTAATATAAGATTTTAATATATTTGTAGTCTTCATAAGGTTTTTGCAATCTAAAAAAATCTATACTAGACGTAATCAAATCTATTTGAAAAGTAGGTTAATACTAATTATGTTATTAGTACTTTTGAAATTAATGTAATATACGTGAGAATATTTTTTTATATTTCTATAATATAACTCAATATGGATTGCATAATAGCTACATTCATTGATTAAATCGTATGAGAACCACAGCTATGAAAGTTTCAAAAGCGTGCAACAAGAAGAATAGACAATACATTGCCATCTTAGGAACGTTCTTGCGTTTCTTTATTGTATTTGATATAAAACATTCTGAAATCATTAACTCGCCCGACACATTTAAAGGCTTAACAAATAAATTTTATAACATATTAAATTTTACAACCGATAAGCTATAAACTATCAATCTTTTTGTTTAAAACGTGTTAGCAAAGTTACTATAACTTTTATGAGTTTATATCTTACTAAGATACTGATCGCGAATGTTTGAATGTTTGTTTGAAGGTATCTCTAGAACTGCATGGATATGATGAACTATCGCTTTTATAATCATGTAATGTAGTACTAATACGAAGACATAAAATCACTTACACGCAAAAAACGAAAATCTTTATATATATAATTCTTCTGTGAATGTGTATGTCACTGTACTTCTCTCAAACGACTGGACCGATTTTGATGAAATTTTTTGTGTGTGTTCAAGGGGATCTGGGAATGGTTTAGATTCACAATTTTCATCAAATATTAACTTCATATTAATTTATTCAAATTAAAGACGTGTAGACAGGACAACGTCTGTCGGGTCCGCTAGTATTTTTATAAAATCTTACTTCTTACTAAATATTATAAATGCAAATGTTTAGAGGATTGATGTATGTTTAATATTATTATTTACATTTATGCCAAATCTCAGCGAGATCTATGCAGCCGTTCTGGAGATATCTTCTAACATATATCCTTCCATCTAAACATCCAATTTGCATTTCTGATATCAGTAAGAAGTAAGATAGTCATATCTATTTGAAAATTTAACAGTGGTAGAGCCCGCTTCAACATCTTCGCGCGAATCGGCCCGGCTCGCCCTGTGAAATACCACGACCACACAGAAGACAGGCGTGAAGTGGAAGTAATTCCGCGTTTCGTCTGATAAGTCTGCGTCCCGGAGGCCTCATTTACTCCTCTTTCCCTTCTCACCCTTTTTCTTGTAAGGAAAGGATAGGAAGTGGAAGTGGGCTATCCGGATGAGAGGATGCATAGGAAGGCAAAATATTTTTTTCTGTGCATCCTCTCCTCCGGCGATTAAAGGTAGGCAACGCATATGCAATTGTGTATGTCTATGGGCAGCGGTCGCTATTTCAGCGATTTAAGGTGGCCGTTCGCTCGTTTGCCACCTTATGATATAAAAGAAAAAGAATATCAAAGGGTGTGACTTGCCAAATGAAAATAGATAAAACACTTTAAAAATATCTTTAATGAATAACAGTAGGCAACAAGATTAACAAATTTAAGAATTTAGATAAGTAAAAGTTGGTCTTTGTCGTATACGATCTATCATTGATATGCAGACAGTGTCTCGACCCGATTGACTATGCAGCAATTATGGCTAGAATATTTCTTCACTTCGTAATTATACTAATTTCGTCACTTAGACTTATGACCTGGAAGTATTTTAAAATCTAATTGTCCTATTTAAATAAAACGAGTATGATTACTTAAATAAAGAAGACAAAAAATAACTTAAGTAAAGTCCGTAAATATTGACATCGTAATTTGATAGTCTCGAAAAATCAGTTGAACCTTGTAAGACCCTTAATACATAAGGCAACGTAAATCTTTGATACTAAAATTGCATGTTTTCGTCGTGATTAGCGATGAAGCTTAACGACCTAAATCGCCAGGTTTCGAAATTTTTTTATGTAGGAACGGTCTAATTAATTAAAACGAATAAAATTGTGTTTAAAAACTATGATATAATTGTAGAGCATGAGAATTGTAACAAATATTTGGAAAAATACCGTTCAGTTCACGCCAATGGAGGTTATTCTGCAATTTGTAACATACGATTTTTAAGGTGACATCACCAGTCTAGCTTAGATATTTATATTGGAGCATTCGATGCGCATACCAAAAGCCTGGAAATATTTCACCTACCTACCTAATCAGTTCTTACGTGACCTGCGTTAAATAATCATAAAATTCGCAAGTGTTGTTCCACACACAACGCTAACGTAGACAATCATAGGCGTATCAAAAAAATAACGTGTAAATAATCAATAATATCTTGACTTTATTTACTTATGTAGTGTTGAGTATACTTTATTACGAACCATTTTTTTTTAATAAAGTCCGATAGCTCTGACATATATTATACTATAAACTACCGTTTCCTACCTTTTTACAAAGATGTCTAATAAAAAGTGTTTTTATTTAAAGTTTTTATCATCAACCAGGCAATTATTTATCTATTTTTCTAACCTGTTTCCCCGCACGTGGCACGTAGAAAACAGGTATTGAAGCGTTTTGATTATTGTGTACTAGCTATCGCTCGCGATTCCGTCTGCGTGGAATTAAAAAAATAAATCCTATTTGTTCTTCTAAACTATGTTCAACATCTATATTAAATTTGAGCGAGATCCATGCAGGGTTTTTGAAGACACCTTCTAACAAACATCCATCGATCCATCCAAACATGCACGTTTATAATATTAGTAATTATGGCCCTTGAAAGTGCTTTCTGTTTTTGGATCAGTTGCATATTTTGTACTAGGGTATCATAAATCAGAAGTAATAAAATCTTCATCAGCAATATGTCTTTACCTGTTACTTCACCACATAAACAAAGCGTACGACGATGTGCCAAGATCCTGTCGTTGCAGGGAACTGTTCTGGACATAAATTCACATCACAGACGCGATCTGCATTCTTATTATGGACAAGCCCTTTCGTACCCGGCACTTTGTATACCTGCATTACACGATACATAGGTTACATAAATATTGTAGAAACAAATGAACTCTACTGTGTATTTCTGTGTTGATAGAAGTAGGTTGAAATTCATATAGGAACTTTTCAGATCCAGTTAAAATTTTAGACTCTATTTCTATTCAGTAATATACTGGGATAATTTAATTTGATAATCGCTTTATTAATGTTATAAAATCAGAATAAAGCTAAGCTTAAAGTAAACGATAGTTGTAATATTTTGTTTCACTGTCAAATTGTCAATGACTCGTTCGCAATTTACTGTCATTTTTTTATTTGGTTACCGTAGTTTTCTGACACCAGAATCTCTGTATAAATTATACCATCACTAACTTTAATATTGACAAAACAGAAATGACAGTACGTTTAAACGTGTATTTTGGTCTCAGAAACCCACATTTAGTGGGTTCTTATACAGACGAAGACAATCGGTCGGTGACGTATAAAGTTACGCGTGTTTTAGCAACGTTACTTCGGCTTTTGCATCAATAGTCTGCGGTTTTCAAATTCATACGACTGTGGGAAACTGTGACTCTTAGAAGACTGATGGTTGACGGAATGATCTAACTTGTAGATAAAATTTACATTTTATCAGATGTATTAGTATTATTCAAACCTATTCACATCGTAATACCTGTACTGAATTGTTTATTTGGTAATTTTAACTTAGTACTTTTGTGGACGTTTTTTATCTTATAACCCATTGTAAATGCTTATTTTAAATTTTTGGTTCATACGAAAATCTACGTATTATAAATATTATAAATGCGAAAGTTTAGATTAATGTATGGATGGATGTTTGTTAGCAGGTACCTCCAGAACGGCTCAACGGATCTCGATAGAATTTAGCACAGATGTAGAACATAATTAATAGCCTATGTTCTAGACTAAGTTTTTTTTACTTCTCGCGGACAGAATCACGGGCTACAGCTAGTATTGGAATAATACATGTATTTAATTATAAAATGATCATAGAGGGTTCCACTTGAAGAGTCTATTTTTTGTAACACTTCACTTCCGAATGAAGAAACCAGGAAGCCTTGCTATATGAACTTCATTTCTCTGGGCATTAATTTGCCACGCTTCAGCGATGGTCATCCTACCATATCGTACAAGGTTAACTTTTGATTTTCACCTTTATTTTAATTAGTATAAGGTTTATTGTTTTTGTAATAAATTCATAAGTAAGCATCAATCATATTGTACCCGGTTTGTTGCGCTTTATGTGAATGAACTATACGCATTTTAATGTGCGTATGGGTTAAATAATTATTTTATAACTTTATTACCGTTGGTTTCTGAGCCCAAAATATCGGTATAAAAGTCATCCCTGTTCATTCATTATGTTTGGCAGATATAACAATGTCTTTTAAACGGAGATTTTGGTCTCAGAAATTTGTGTGGTGATAAATAAGTATGGTGAAATTTATAACCACTTTGACGTCCATAATATTCTTCATCGGCGTTTCAAGGGTTAAAATACAGATAACTAAATAGTGTCCGACTATATTTTTTGGGGTAATGCAATATATATTTGACAAACACATTTACAAAAGCATATGACTTTATGACTTTGCAACAGTTTTTTTTTGCATGCAAATAAATGTAGTACAAACGTAAATTCAAGGAGACTCTTTAATCACCTCATTTCGCAAAAATATTTGCACAATTTTGACAGCTGATTTTGACAATTTGACATTGATTTTCTATGGCAAATATTTAGCCGATTTGAAACGGCTTGGCATCAGTTGCGACCTCTATCACTTTGACCTCATTTCTTCAATTTTTTTTAAGGGTAATTTAGTGTTTTAAAATAAAGTATATACGAATGCAACAATCTCTTACGAAGCTCTTATTCTAAATGAAGAATAAGAAAAAAAAAATTGAAAGAAATATAATTTTGAAGTTATTGAGAAAGTAAAACATTTGTTTTTTTTACAGATCAGAAGAGAAATTAGTGCAATGAAGGTGTAAGGTAAGATTTTTTAATATTTAACCATACATGCCAAGTCACTTAATGCAGAATTTTCCCCAGTTGCGATTATAATTTTAAAGTTGTTAAAATGTTTACATTAATTTTAAAATTAAAAATATAAAAAGTAAATTGTAAAAAGGATAACATAAAAAATGCCGTTCGTGAAGCGGGATATGTATTGTAGAATTAAACTAGCGACAATATAAGAGTAGATGTAAGCAAACATATTCAGATGAATTGGCACATCGAGTGGGCCAACGTTTGTTGGCCAAACAAGTTTGACGCATCCCGTTGTACAACGACCAAATGTAATTGATGCTATAATATACTCGTTCCCATCGTAACTCTATGACAGATCAATTCGAGAGTTCAAGATATACAGACTCGATAATACGTCCCAATAAAAATTATCCGTACACTATGACCTTGAGTTTAACCTTAAACAACAATGCCCTATCGTAATTTGAGATCTTATTCTTTGAATTTATAAGTTTGTTTCCTATCAAAGAATAACAGAATGACGAATAACATAAACTTATCCGTACTTTAACACAATAGAATGTAGAGAGTGTTCTTTTTTATTACAACCATAAAAAATATCACATATTTAGCTTAAATTGTTCGTCATGTTTTTTGAATTTAGAACAAATAGATTTACAATGAAATGTTAAAGAATTTCCTTGCAGCTTTCATTGTACAAAACATTTATACCAAAAGTATGAACCACCATATAGATGAAATGAATAGGGTTTAAAATATCTTACTAATAAACCTACTAAGATACCCCACACACTACAGACAGTCGCCCTCTCAGCATGAAATCGGTGTAATGTGCGCCCCTACATATTATACATGCTCATACAAATTAAGCGCACGATCAAACTATTGGACGACTAAAAGTCTCCAGTGTGCTAGGGCTCTTATAGATAACTTAGTATGAGTAAAAAAGCTATTACAGTGCGATATTACGCTTTCCACATGCATGCTTCATGCCATACTGACGACTTTAATCATAAGCTCACTCAACATTGCGTAGTTTGTATTTTACACTTTTTGTAACTCTATCATCTATCAGGCAATGTAATCACAACACGATATCATTAAGTTATTTCTTAATTTCATCAAATCTCATGAAACTGATGGCTGTTGGGATAATCTTACACAGTCTATTACGTAATTGTAATGCAAAAAGTAAATTGTCAGCAACTAGGAAAATCTTCGGAGAAATGTTACAGTAACATTGGTATAGTTAAAGAGGTTGAATTTTGTTACGAATTTCGATCAGATTTGAATATCCTACTATGTAATAAATGTGAATGTTTAGATGGGTGGATGTTTTTTGGAAGGTATCTACAGACCGACTGCATCTTGTTGTAATTTGGAGTAGATGTAGAGCATAAGTCTGCAAGAACACATTGGAAGTAATTTTATAATCTTGTGGACGGATTCGCGGGCGACAGCTACTAGTGTTCCATGATAGCATTTAAATGAAAAAAGCTAATCCCAATTACTTCTGTTGGCAATGTCACTTTTAAAAGTCTAGTAGGATTTAATGTAAAATTGGAGAAGTAATACATTTAAATAAAAACACCATTTATTAAGTACCAAGTTAATTGATGTCATATAAAAATAAATATAATGATATTCATGGTATTTGAAAGGAATAACGTTTCATATCCCATGTTTATCCACTGGCTACTACGTACGCATTAAGTGGTTTGCAACGAGCGGCAAATTGTATGTTACGCCGGGATACGGTCAACCTCTTGTAATCATTTTCTTGCGGCCACTCTCAATAACATCTTAGCTTACTTAAATACTTACCACAGTTTATTGTACAGACATATATGATTCAACTTGTCTATTGATATGCCTAGTGTTTTATTTCCTGACTGACTCTATATACTACTGTATGTATATGTAGAGTTTTAACATAAAATACATGCGTCCCGGAGGCCTAATTTAGTCCTCTTTCCCTCCCCCTTTTTCTTATAAGAAAAGGATGGGAAGTGGAAGTATTGTCAGTAACAAAGCGTACCTTGGGTCAATAATAAAGCAAATCTTAATGATCTGAAGTTTTGTTTTATTATAAACTTCAAAGTTACAATAATATGATCAATTTTTGTTGTATTCCAAACTATTTTGTAATATATAATGCGAGATGAATCGTTTATCCTATATCTTGTATACACCGCGGTAAATGGAGCAGTGTAGCCAACCGCAAATAGTATGGCATTAGGCACGCGGCAGCGCGCACGCGACGGATGACGGGGGAATCTGTCGCGGATGGTAATCATGCGCTGCATTTCATCTTGCGGTTTTTACAGGATGGAATAATAGACCGGAATATACAACGCCTATACGTGCATATTCACTACTGAAGCGTTAATCCAAAACATGTTGTTATATCCCTTTTTTGACATATTAGATAGATAATAATATGCTTTTGTCAGTTATAGGAATCTTACTAATAAATAAATGCGAAAGTTAATATGTATGTTTGTTAGAAGGAACGGTTCAACGAATCTCGATGAAATTTGGCACAGATGTAGAACAGTCTGGAAGAACCCAGGCTACTTACCAAGATTTTTAATTCCTGACGGCTGACGGCGTCACGGGTGACAGTATTTTACTCAAAAAAAAATACGTGACAGATGTGTGCATGAAACCTTTAACGAGGAAATGCCACCGGTAGCTTGCTGTTACAGCACTCAATGATTACATACTAGCTTCATACCGTCATACGTGTTCAATAATCTTAGATAATATACATTCTACGTTCATTGGAATTCGTATTACTGGCTTACAACTAGCGGATATTATCATCGCGTTCCACAATGATTTGCAACTATCCAATCACAACTATGTCGTATGGAGTTATTCAGAGTTAAATGGAGGTCAAAAGTCAATCCATAAGTCACCGCAACACACTTTCTTGTTAATATAATTGTTAGTCAAAAATTAATTCGTCGTAATGCCATTTTGATTGCATTCTGATCTACAATGTTACAAATTAAACTTCGATTACATGGTTGTGCCTGATTATTTTGTTATTTTTTAATTAACAAGCGTATATTTTATTAAAGTATAAAATTCAATGGTCACTGACATAGATTTCTCGGAGATTAATGACAATCTTATTGCTTAGGGAATGTACAGCCCTTTAAAAGTACGCAGTCAACTATGATTTTAAAGAAATAATGAAAAGACTCTTACAAAATGTTAGTTGCGTTGTGTCTTGACCTTAATTTTATAAGTATTCTGTCATATCTACATCTTCGCTTCAACATTTCATAATACAGCTAAATCGAAGTCAGAATCGATTTAAATAATCGATATGAGGATTATGTACCATGGTATCGAATCGGCGTCATCTGGCGAATGCAGTCGATTACCGGCGAGCCACATGAGGCTAGGGAATGCGGCAAATTGACGACAAAATCGTAGCTCGCGTGATACGTCACTTTAAAGATGATTGTAATAATGACGGAGAATTTTGCAATCCCACATGGTATTACATACCCTGATCTGCAGTAATATAGTTACTACTTATGTTAACGTATCGCAGCTTGCCTGATATTTTGTACGAAAGAATTCTTCGAGGAAAACCATTCTCTCGTTCTAAGGAATCTTGGAGCATTAGTTACATTATCAGCTCTCCAAACGCCCTACTAATGAGCTTGGAGGCAATCCTAATTTAGAGGTTATAGGTCATAGTCAAACGGACCTAGTCAGCTGGCCCAGTGCTGGTTGGTTGACTTCACACATATCTTTAAATTTCTTCGCAGATATGTGTAGGTTGCATTACGATGTTTTCGTAAATGTACATCGTATAAATCGAAAAACACTTGGGTATACCGGTTTTTTCGAACCCGGGACCTGCAGATTACAACTGAAGTGTTTAAACCCTGAGCCACCGACGCACTGATTAGTTACATGAAACCAAAAAATTACGCAAGTTACCCGTTCTCTGTTTGCTCAATAAAAAGTCGAGCGATGTAAACGAGATGTCGAGAAAGTATCCTCGTTTCCATTAGGAAAGTCAGAACGTCAAGAGTCACGGTGCCAAGTTTGCGACTCGATCGAGTTTTTAACGGAGAAAGCTGACACTGTCAACTCGCAGGATTACCATTCGTCAGCAATTTTTTAAACCCACCACACAATGATTATTTAAAAAAAATATAATATGCTCATATTTGGGAATTATTACGATCGCGTACTTATATTTTGATTGTTTAGCGAGGTAGTACATTCTAGTGTCTTCCACATTTCTCCTTAGCCACTGATAAGTGACAACTTTACAAAATTAGCAATGGTTTTATGACAATTGTAATGATTGCCATTATTTATTCCTTCGACAATAATTGTTCTTATTTCCTTTTTAAAATTCGGCATCTTTGAAAGTCTAGAATCGGACAAATATATTTGTGCATTGGTGTCAGCTATTCATTGTGTTATCTAGCTGTAAATTTAGTGTTAGTTATTATCAAAAGTTTTTATATATGATTGCATCTCTAAAACTATCAAATAAGTACGGTTCTTATTGACATTCCTTTTCCAGTCGTATCTATGTTGATTTGTTTATATTTTTATTTGTAACTTTAGTATGGAATCTGGAAAATTGTTGTAGGTATAGTAAATTTAATTCTTATAGATAAAATATGTAAATTATGATTGACTTATTGGTAAACAAGGTTTCACTGACTAATAAACTCGAAGAGAGAACAACAGAAGTATATTCATATTTCTCTATCTGTATTTTATCTTATCTTACTTCTTATTAATATTATAAATGCGAATGTTAGGATGAATGGATAGATGGATGGGTGTATGGATGTTCTGCTTGAAGGTATCTACAAAAAGGTATAAACGGATCTCAATAAAATTTGGCATAGATGTATAACATAGTCTGAAAGAACACATACGGTACTAATTTTGTTTTTTTTTTAATTCAGAGCGGACGGACTCGCGGGCGACCGCTAGTAGTAAAATAAATTGTG